TGCTATTTATCTTTATGATTATTGCACGTGTATGTGTTTATATGCTTATATGTTTATATGTATACCGGGCGAGGCCCGATGACTGACAAATCTGTATACCGAGCGAGACTCGATGCCGGGCGGGGGCCCAATATATCATATGTGGTATTTTGGGGAAGTCCCTAAGCGTCGTGCTTACGGTTTTCAGTTTTTCATTTCAGGTATTTTCGGTTTAAAAAGGGAAGGGCCCGACTTGATCGCAACACATCCACCCATGTTTCCATACTATGATGATTTTGGGATTTCACTCTGATAACTATTTTATGATGAAATACTTTGAATGTTTGAAATAAAGATAATTGGTGTCTTGATTGAATTAAAAATGAAATTTTTACCTTATGATTTTCGGGATGTTACAGATTAGTTGTCAATGCATCCTCGATCGTCGGTCATTTCGTTCATCATCAATAGCGGAAATTCTTTGGAAGTTTCGGGTTGTATCAGTTGAAGTTCAATGGATGCGTCAATCTATCGTCAAGTTCGGCTCGAGTTTGGAAGATGTCCTTGGTTATTGGAAGTTCAGAAGTTGGGGTAGTGTTGTTCAGTTTTCCAGACTTGACATTAGATCTGCGTAGAATCTAATTTTTGGCATGTCGTGCTGGCAGCAACAGCAACAGCAGCAGCAGCAGCAACAACAACAACAATAACAACAACAAATTTTTTCTTTAATGAAGTCTAAATGGTAATATTATTTAAATATGCAAACAAAATTAATCCATTTGATATATTGAATATGTCGGGGGCTTATGCATAAAGTTAATTCTTTTTACTGAAAAAATGAAAAAAAAAGTAAAGATAATTTTGTATATAATTTTGAACTTAGTATATTTTAGACTAGTTCTTACCTTATAGCGGTAAGAAGAGTCATCATCTAATGGATTGGATGTAATATATCGCTAAATATTCAAGTAAACGTCTCGTTATTTAACTTTGCAGGAAAATTTTATTCAACTATAAGATAATAATTGCTATTAAAAAAATCATTTAAACTAATAATTTTCGAAAATATACCATTTTCAGCCAATGTTTCATTTTTATTAGAAAATATAAGTGTAGAAGGTGGAAATAAAAATGATGTTAATTTAGTAGTAAATAATGCTTGATAGTTTTTATTAGAAATATCAAACTATCATGAAAATTTTCAAACAGTATACTTGCATAATAGAAGAAGAGAAGTATAATGGGTCAGCAATAAGTTGGGGATGAGTTGCATACTGTTAGTTAGGGTGAGCTAAAACCGAACCGCAAACCGAAAAAACCTCATAAACCGAAACCGAAGAACCGAAACCGAAATAAAAACCGACAGTGCGGGTTTTAGTTTTGCAAAAACCGAAAATGTTCGGTGCGGTGCGGTATTTAGTCTTGCAAAAACCGCAAAAAACCGAACCGCACCGCATATATATATATATATATATATATATATATATATATATATATATATATATATATATATATATATATATATATCAAGTGTTGATAGTTGTAAGAACGAAGAACTCGTGACAATTAAAATTTCTATAAATATAAATATTTATCTTATCAGAGGATGATTGTATATTTTTAAGCATACATTCTGTGATATTTATAAGAACAAATAATGTTTATGACATTTTTTAACATTTAAATATGAAGAGTACTATCGATAATAGTATCATTTTTATGAATACATTTATCTCATGTAAATGTGAAACAAATGTTATATTTAATTCGTATTATATTCAAGCATTAGAAGCATACTGGATGAATGGTTATGTCATTTGATTTCAATCCGAGAGGTGGTGGTATCATAAAAACCGAACCGCAGAAAACCAAAAGGCAAAACAAAAACAAAAAAACGACAAAAACCGCAACAAAAACCACAAAAAACGAACCGCATAAAAACCGAACGGTGCGGTTTCTAAACTTCAAAAAACCGAAGTTGCGGTTTTCGGTTCGGTTTTGAGCAAAAACTGCACAGAACCGCACCATGCTCACCCCTATTAGTTTTTCGATTATTCATTCACTGCGCTCTTTCAATTACTACCCATGGTTTTGCCCCCTTTACAGGTTATCAAACCCATACGCTTCTTTACGAAGTACATATGTTTATATCTTACTGCACACCATGACCTACTTTTCCTTTGTTTGCCAATTTTACAAGTTTGCGTTGTGTGTATGCCTAGGTCATGTTAGTGACAAAGTCGATCTTCCGTCCATGGAGACATGAATGTTGACTTTTACTAATGGGATACTCGAGGTTTCTTGTTATTGCTGTATTTTATCGTTGCAATTTTTTTGGAATGTTGGTAAAAAGCATGTCACGCTAACCATTCCAATCTCTAGTCATTTTTATTTCGATGTAAACTCTCAGTAGGTCATCAAAACACAATTCCATCTTTCGAATGACTACCAACTAACAATCTCATATCGCTTGCATATTTTTATTTATATATTGGATTAAATATAAATATAATTGTGTATTATGTTATATATTGTGGGCCTAGGAAACTCAGACATGTATGATCTAGTACATCCTATCCAAATCACTGTGGTAACCATAATATATGGATTGGTCCTTAGATGGTTAGTGTCACTAGTTGCAATATGATCATGTAGACTGTGGTTATATTACATAAGTATGTTATGATCGGGTCTGATTCTGCTGCAATTGGGTCTTCTATGACGTAAAGGAAATGAGTATCATAGGTAGGCAAAAAATTGGGTTGTAATGACGATGAAAAGGGGGAGCATTCTCAATGAACAAAGAAACGAATGGTATGTTTTAAATTAAGACAGTTCTAGATTTTTGGTGGGTCATTGGGTTGGCCACCTTGAATTTGATGATCAATGTGCTTTCGCAATAATTAGCGGTGTTCGTTTGGAGGATATAGATCCGGTAAGAAGGAAATTTTTGGTAGGAATGTAATAAGTTTTTTTTCTATATATTTTTTTGACGAACAAAATAAATGAATCACTAGATGATTCATTTGTAAGATGATTCACAAGAAAAAATTCCCAAAAAAACATCTTTATGATTCATTTTTAAGTAAATTAAGAAAAAATTTATATTTATAACAATTTTAGTGAATAACAACAAAATCATTGTATAAATGAATCATCGAGATGTTTTTTTGAGAATTTTTTCTTGTGAATCATCTTACAAATGAATCATCTAATGATTCATTTTGTTTATTCGCGAAAAAAATATGTATAAAAAAAACTTTTTACCTTCCTATCAAAAATTTCCTTCTTATTTGATCTTGACTCTTCGTTTGGATTGATTACTTTGATCTGATCTAATCAAATAAATCAAAATTGATTTTAGTTTTCAAAACATATATCCGAGTCCAAACTAAATTCAAATCTGATCTAATCCAACCAAATTTCCAGTTTGGCCGGATCAGTTTTTATAATTCAGTTTTCAAGAGTCAAAATATATTAAAAAGACAAATATAATTAGAATATTAGTCGACTTTATAGAAGAAACAAAAACAAATTATTTAGTTGTGGATTAAAATATATAAACAACTATTAAGAAAACATATTATAGTTTAATATTTTATAGATAAAAAATTTATGAGAAAAATACATATTAATGTTTTTATTGGGTGAAACTTTACAAATATATATGAAAAATAATGTACTAAATCATTAAATAATTAAAGAAACATATCAAATATAAATAAGTTGTTATTATGGTTTTTTTTTTGGAATATTTAGTTCTTATTTTATAAAATCAATCTAAAATCCAAAAAAATAATTTGAATTTGTTTAGCAAATCAAAAATTATAATATCCAAACGAAATAGTATAATTCAAATGGTTCAATTGAAGAATTAATTTTTATCCGAATAGTGAACCGTGAGAGCTATAATTAGGTCCTTTCTGACATCAGGGAATGAGATATACGGTATCCGAATCCAGGGTGGCAAATAATTTGAGATGTCGTGAAGAAGAAAAGGAGGAGCACCTTCAAATCATGAAGAAATGACATGTTTACAGTTTAGACTATTCTACATTTTGGGTGGGTTGGCCACTTTATTCGATCCAAAAACTTTGGGCCATAACAAATAGTAGGTAACATGTTAAAAGACTAGCCAATTACCTTAAATTTTACATCGTTGATAGTCACATGAAAGATGAAACATCGAAACCATTACTTATTTTTACCATATCATCAGTTTGTTCATTTCTTGAAAACTTTCTAAAAAAACGTCTTTTAAATTTTAACCAATCGGTTGAAAATTCAAAGTCTTGTTTAAACTAATATATAGATTTATGGATGTTTGAGTACTATTAAAATTTTTAGGGAAAATACCGGCAATAGTCAAAAAATGGGGGGTAAATTCAAAATTTAGACATGAAAATGGACATTTCCAGGTATAGACATGCATTCTGCGGAGGTAGCTCCGCGGAGCTCCGCGGAATGTACTGTAACTCCGCGGAATGGATCTTTAGAATTTTTTTTTTCACATCGTTTATTCAGGGTTTATATTAATTCCACAACTAATTATTTTCAAAAAAAAGATTATGATAGTATGATAATCTTTGCTTGAAAATAATTAGTTGGGGAATGAATATAAATCTCGAAGAATCGATGTGAAAAAAAAAAACTGGAGATCCATTCCTCGGAGCTACCTCCGCGGAATGAGTTCATTCCTCGGAGGTAGCTCCGCGAAATGGATCTTGAGGTTTTTTTTTTTTTTTAATACACTCATTTATTTACGATTTTGTCATTCCGCGGAGCTACAGTAGATTCCGCGGAGCTACCTCCGCGAAATCCATGCCTATATCTGGAAATCCAATTTTTTGTGTCTATTTTTTGAAAATACCCTTATTTTTTTACTATTGCTGGTATTTTTCCCAAAATTTTTATTGGTGTAATAAAAGTACAAAAATACATTTCATTTAACCCTAAATAATTATTTTTCAACAAACGGATGTACTATATATAATTACTTTGCATTGGGCAACCCGTGACTATGTATATTTCTTGCCACTTGCATCATCCTCTTCTCTTTGTGACCATAGTCTCCAGAACACGTATCAATTAAGAGTCGTTCTCATCACTGACACTATTTGATGCATCGTCATGATCATGTCTCCGGTGATTAGCGAAGCACTCTTATCCGGTTACACCACAAACTCCGCCACCCTACGCCGCCGCACCCACTTGGTTCAATCTTTCTCGGTTGTTTTCCTCTACTGGTTCTACGTCTTCTCATGAAACCAAATACCTTCATATTTCACTAGTATTATCTACATATTTGAACTTATATTCTCTTGTTTTTCTGTGATCAAGACTGTATTTCGATTTATGATCAACATGGCAGCTTGTGGTGTGACAAAATTTACCGAGTCAACTCAAACCCTTGTGTTGGTTTCTAATGATAATCATGATTCAGTCTCGAAGAAGCAAAAAAGAACCATATCGAACAGGGAATCTGCTAGGAAATCGAGGATACGCAAGAAGAAACACATGGATGATCTTGTACGACAAGTGAGTCAACTCGTGAGTGATAACAAATGCATGGCCATCAACTTGAAAGATACAACTCAGATGTTCATCAAGATGGACTCCGACAATTCGGTTCTTAAAGCTCAATTGGCTGAGTTGACTCACCAATTCGAGTCACTCAATGAGATTAGTAATGGATTCAACTTACTCATGAATGATGACCATGAAAATGAAGCATGGTGCGGATGGTGAGGTCTTCATTGCAATTACATGATGCATGAAAATCATCATTTTCTGGTTGACATGTTCTTGAATTAATAAATCTTAAAAATAGCTCTTTAAACAACGTACTTATGCTGTTGGTGTACATTATCCAAATATTTATGATTCAAGAGCGTCACACTATGATTCAAATGTTTTCAATAAACAGATTACATTTAAAGATTATCTAGTGGATTATTAGAATTCATACAAAACGAACCGTTATAGATATGCCTCTTTGAATTGTTTTTAATGAAAATTTTATTTGAAATTAGCAAGAAGCTAGGCAATTACAAAAAGATAGTACATCAGGTTATCAACCAAAACCCTCAATTTAAATCCCCTCATCCCCACTTGGTCCTATAAGAAAGCGACATGTTTAAACTCATTGACAAGCATTGGAGTAGCTAGTTTTCACATTAATTACGATTAAAAACAAGATTGTTCCTATAATTCCAAATTACCAAAAAAAAAAAAAAAGCATTGACAATATCCACCGAGTCCTCGAGCCTTGAACCTGTCCACTAGTTGTTAGTCGTAACCACTAGAGCTTCAACGAAGGGTTAGATATATTTGGAGTCTAAAAATGTCTCTCCAGAAGAAACTTTATGGAGAGAATAAAGACTTCAACATATATAGAGATATAAGAGACCGTGTCACATCGAGTCTCCGAGCCTTAAACTTGTCCTGTAGTTGTTAGTCATAACCACTAGAGCTTCAATGAAGTATAAGATATTTGTGGAGTTTAAGATTATATTAAAAGAGCCCTTATGGAGAGAATGAAGACTCCAATATATATAGAAACATAAGACACTGTGTCACACCGATATAAAAACACTAACACTCATGGGCGGACCTCGTATGTAGCACATGGTAACACTACCCCTAAGAGAAGAAGGCTCGATGATGTCAAACAAGAATGTGTTCGTCTATGTGGGTGCGGACGCAAGATCTGATACTATGTAAAATATATCTGGAGTCTAAGATTTTCTCCTCAAAATAGCCCTTAAGAAGAGAAGGAGACTCCAACATATATAGAGACATAACGGACCCTGCTGCACCAATATCGGATAAACTAACATGAATATGAGATTGGTTGAGAGGGGATATTTGTCCACTAATTGTAAAGAGCCGCCCCCACCTCCTTTGTAGTTGAACACAAAGAAAATACTCGATCTTCAGTTCCATCAAAAACATTACACCAATTTGTAAATTGTAAAGTCAGTCGACTCAATAAACTCTTTGTCGATCTCCTTTCTAAGCTAAAACACAGTGGAATAACATCACCTAGCGACGATGTTGCGTTTTCGCCTAGAAGTTATCCGGATTATCAGCTATATAAACTAGGTCATCTAATATAAAGAGGTAGCCATTCAAGATTAATGTGACAGATCAAGCCCGACACAAACCTCTCGTGAACCTGTGCACACGCAACACCTATACCCTCGTTTTCACCATAAAAATACCTAATTACCTTCTTCCATAATGTGCATGTCCCGCTTGTGAACCGCCACCACCACTTAGATTAGTAGTTAACATATCAGGGTTGAGTGTCTTTAGACCACTGATGTCCAAACCACCATTTCTATTTACTAATCGATTTTTCAAGATATTTTTAGAAAATCACATTAATTCATGAATATAATTTTACTTTAGTTATAAAAAATGTTAATTCCAATCTTAAAAAAAAATATATCAATGGTAAAACACATTTATCTGACCTTAGAATTAAAAATACTTTCATGACGTTTAATAAATTAACATCGACTATTTTTTGTCTAGGAAAAATATATATTCTTAAATGATAAAAACACCTTTAATTGTGATATCGTACCTATTTTCTAAATAACTTACTTGTCCGGTTTGTCTTCACATGCACATATTTATTTGAATTATATGCATATATCGATCATGATCAATTTGCGCTCGTTATGGTTTTTTGGTTTATTAAACGTATTTGGTCCACTATTCACTAGATAATACCACTAAATAATTGGTATTATTGAACCATTGCTTCTACATTTTGTAATTGAATGGTCAAAAGTGTGATACCATGATCTAGAATGTAGATAAAGGGTCTAACTTTAGAATGCAGATAAATGGTCTAACTCATACATAATGAAAGAATACGAATAAATCTTAACCATTGATTGATATATCTATCCGATATCGATGGCTAGGAAAGAGAGACATTAGATATGTTTATGGGTGGTGGGTGGTCATTTTTGTTGGCATTTGTTTAAGATACCCTTGGAGCTATAATGGGAAGTTGATGACATCAAAGCTAAATTATTGGCAACCAAAGATATATCAAAAAACTATATAAATCATATCTTAATCAATCTTCTATATCCACAGCTTACGAGATGTATTTGTTCTTTTAAATATCTTCATCCAACATGACAAAAGTCTAATCTACCATTACACATTATATATATATATATATATATATATATATATATATATATATATATATATATATATATATAGGGTTAGATTCATGTGAGACAAATGAATTTTGTGAGACAAAGGGACCAAATCTTGATCACTCATCTCAAATAATTAGTGGCTAGGAATAAAACATAAAAACACTATAAAAAGGCTGATGTAGGTGGTGGCAATTTTGAAAATATGTCAAAGTTTGTGATTAACTATGGACCAGGAGGGATAGCTCTGTTATTTTGCACTCAAATCATATGAGAGCTTATTCTTTTCTTCCCGATTGTGATTTGCTTCTTCTTTCTGTCACACCCCCAAACCAAGGATGGCGGAAACGTTCGGGGGTGGCGGACTTCATGTATAGTATCACAACAACGAGTATAATAGTGCTCAAAGTAAATACAACCATCATAAATATAATTGAAAAGGTTACACCATAGCTTATGTTTACATGTTTCAAAATCAATTACATTATGATGACAAAATGAACTGTTTGACGATTTAACGTCTCATCCTCAAAATGCTGTTGGTTTCCCGTTTCACTGATTTCGTGAGAATACAAGTAGTTTTGAAAAGTGTCAACAATTAAGTTGGTGAGTTCATAAGAGTTTTGCTTGAGCAAGAAACCGTTTTCCTGGTAAAAGCGATTGAGTATGATTCCCAGAAAAATCCAATATTTTCTTAGTTAAGTATGAAATAAATGCTCCTATGTTATGTAATAATGAATCCTAGAAAGACCCGTAGATTCCTTCTATAATCATCCAGTGTATATAAGTTATATAAAATTCAAGTTAAATAAACCGTCGAATATAATGGGTCTGCCCTAGGTCCACAACCAAACAAAGAACAGGAAGTAAGGCGGGCCCACCAATTCTAAGTCGATTGTGACTAAATTCGTATATAACTCTGGCATAAACACTTAGCAATTATAGCTGAAGTCTAACAATTCTAGATGAAATGTAGTTTAACAGAAATATGTTTCCAAAGAAAATCCAATGTTTTCCTTATAAAAGTTATGTAGCCTTAGATGTCCAGACCGAAATAAACAAGTATTTTTCCATACTTAAAGTAATTCATGTGAGTTAAATTGACATAACTCGCTAATTTAAAAGTAAAACCCGTAAATCTTATGATTTGTTAATACCACATGTGAGCTATTATAACCATGCTAAGACTCAGACGGCCTCGTAATACGACGTTCTTCAAGCGTCGCAAGTTAAATGACACTTGTCACCCCAGACCTGCCGGTCTAGCTGTTGCATGCAGCTCAGGTGTGGGTTTGTCAGACCCAATATAGATCTATACACAACTATCACGCTCTCCCTACAAGAGACTCTGGTTACAATTTACAGGACTTTTGATTTCGTTACTTTGGAAGTAACGCGGAGCGAATGTCTCACAAATTTATTCATTAACAGATTTACGTGAACTGAACTGCAAACCTTTGGTAAATGAGTTTGAAATGTAAATGATACATAAACTATACCTATTATAGTTTATCCAAAACGTTTGTAATGTAAAAGAACCCCTTTTATGAAAATACATTAGTGCTATGAGTCCATAAACTATTACTATTATGTAGTATATGAAAAACCCATTTGTTTTGAGAGTAAAACCTTTCTCATGTAGTAAACATCCATAAACTATGCTTATTATAGTTTATTACATGTGTTCGAAATGAATGAAGAATCTTCATCATGAATGACTAAATTTCAGTTTATGATGATAAACTAACAAGAAAGTACCTTCAATATTTAGAACTTATTGTTATACATTTTGCTCAACATAATACAAAGTGTTATGAAAGTTATAAGCTGTTAACTAGTTTTTAACCTTTCTGCACTGTTTTAGAAAAATCATACGAACTCGAAAACTGAATCCATAAATTCTGAGAGTTCATAAAATGTATCTAGTTTATTCATAATTTTTATTATGATTTTTAGAAGCCTTGAACTTGTGTTAAAATGTTCATATTCACAGTCTGGTCCGAATACGTTTCTGAAATGATAGACAGTTTTGTAAAAATCACCATAAATCGTAGAAAAATCATATGGAGATGTGCAAATAGTCATTTTAAAGGTATGAACCTGAACTATTTGCATATTAAACAGTTTTGAAAGATATTAAGTTTAAGATAGTAAAAGCAGTCCGTGAATAAGACTCAACTTTTCTGATGAAAGCTGTTGTTTGAGTTTAGTTATGTTCTTGGTGTTTTAACTTGTATTCCCCCTCTTAAAACTTAAGAAAAACATGAAAAGATAGGGGTATGAACTCACCTTGAGTGATTTCAGAAGATGGATGATGAAGAAGAGAAGTGTTCAACTCAAGAACACTTAGAAGATGCTTGATGATTCGAAGATCTAACAACAAATATGACGATATTTGTGTAAGAAACCTATGATTTGAGTAGAAAGGAGTGAAATAATCATATGGAGGATGATAATACTTACCAAAAGTAGAAGAAAAGCTTGGAGAATAGCCTTGAATCTCAAAATTTAGAGAGAGAAGTGAGAGAGAATGGAGTTTGTTCTTTGGTGGAAAATGAGAGAAAGGTGAGGAGAGAGGGGAGTTTTCCAGCCTTTGATCAATGATGTGGCTGGGGAAATGATGAAAAGAGTACAATGAAAGGACTAGGTATAGGTGAAAAGTGAGTGGGGGTTGTACTATGAAGGTATGGGGAGGTTGCTTGTGTCCTTGTCCA